TGTGAAGCACGCAGGGAATCTTGCACAGATGGTGGCTGCCATTACTAATACAGGTTGTCATTTTGGTCACTCTGCAGTGAGAGCTTAAAATAATCCATGTCAAGTGCGCTTTTAGCATTGGAGGTGAGAACTGGGCACTGGTCCCCCACAGTTCCATGGTGTTTTTTTCCTGTAAAGGTGATGGTGCTTCATGCAGATAAGGAAAGTGTTTGGAGCTCCACTGTTCAGCAGGGACTTGCTGCAAGTGTGGATTTGCTGTGTGGATGACTGATCTCACCTGGTGAGGCACTTATGCTCCCACCAAACTTGCTGCCCTTGCTCAGAGCATCTGTACCCAGCACACACTGAAGCTGTGTGCACTTGTGGCCAGGCTTCAGGCACCACTTGCACTAGGCAGGCTGCATTCACAGAGAAAGTCTCACTGGGGTTCGACTGCTGCACTCGAGGAGCTGGACTTTGTCAAAATCATGTCAAGATTGAGTTGCACTAGCAGAAGCTGGGGACTGAGCTAGCTGGGCAGGAATGGGGTGCAGTGAGATTAACTGGACCCTAGGTGTCTGTGCTCTTCTGTGTCTAATTGGTTTCTTTACGACGGAAGGTAGTGCCTGCACGGCTGCTTCAATTCTTCAGTTCCAGGATGATTAGGAGGATTTGTTGTGGTTTGCTTTCTGCAGCCATGGGTGGGGGAAACAGGTGTGTTGCTGTATGGAAGCAACAGGAGTGTGCTTATGTTTGGTGTGGTGGGTCATGGGGAGGAGCTGTGTGTGGTGTGTGAGTGGGTGATGTATGTATCTGTTTATCTCCAAGCTCAGTATGGCTTTGACAAGACCGCCAAAGAGCCCAGTGCAACTTGAACTGATAAAGGCATCTCAGTAGATATAAGGAGGGAAAGGACTATTTTAAAAGAGCTGATACGATGTCCCAGATATTTTGGGCAAAGAAGGGTGGAAGAGCAGAACTGCCTACTTTCTTGCACAGCAAAGTGTCAGTCTCATGAAAGTCTGCTACAGAAACGACAGCTTAGCCCAGCTGGTTCATCCCCTATGTTTCTCCTCCATTTATGACTGAAGATGACACTGAACATAAGCAGGATGTTTAGTTTATCGCATCTCCTCTACTTCTCCTGCATAAATTCCTCCATCTGATGTCTTGGTAGTCGACTTTCCACAGCGATCGTTGTGACAGCCCTGCACGAGGCTCACATGGAGCCACTGGAGAGCAGAACGTGGCCTTTGCCTTCTGTTTGTAGTGAGCAAGATGCAGAAGCAGGATTACCAAGGAATGTGCTCATTCTTTTCTCAGCGGATGCCTCAGCTGCTAAAGCTAAACGGACACCAGCAGTGTGCAGAGCAGGAGGAAAGCAAAGGAGGAGCAACAGTGCTGGGAAGCATTTTCCATATGGCTGCTCTTAAATAATTCCATTCCTGCATCCTTAAGCATGCAGCAAGTGAGGCTGCAGTTGTGCTCGTGGGAAGAAAGGTCAGCGTGGCCTTTTGGTCTGCCCCCCAGCAGTGCAGTTCCATGCAGACAGCACATGCCTCCTCTGTCTGCTCTCACTTAGTGGTCACATCTGTGAGCCCTGCTGCACTGTCCAATTACATGGGGTCCTTTTAGCTCCCCGTCCCTTTTGGCAAAATAAGGCTATGAAGAAGCATGCGTAAGCAGATGGTCAGCATGCAGGCAAGCTCTCTAATTAACATGAGCCAGGTCAAAACGTAGATTTGATTTCACTTTATTCTTGCTGCAAATAATTTTATCACAAAATAAACAACGTAGGATTTTATTTCTGTTGCCAGTGTCCTTTTTGTGTTCTGTTGCCTCTGTCCCTTTTATTTACTACTAGGCATTTGTGGAATTAAGAAGATTGTAAAATTTATCAGAGCAACAATATATTTAAGAAGAAACGTGTAAGCATGTGTGCAGCAATAAAATAGTATATTTCACTACATCTCTTCCTGCTGTGGCCTCTTTGTTTCCAACTAATGTCAGTGTGGTGCTGTTTCTGAATGGATATGGTGAGTTCCTTCAGCATTTTTCTTTCACCTTGTCCAGAGGCTGGCTCTGTACTGAGCTTCCAAGCAGTGCTTAGGATGTGATGCTGCTGTCCTCCCCTGGTGATCCTTTCAGACAGTTCCTACCAGAACATGGGCAGAGAGCACTGGCAGAGAGCACTAGTTTCTTTCTCCAAGCGTACTGGGATGATAACTTTTATCACAGAGTGCTGCTTTGAGCAATCCCAGGGAGGTCTGTTGTCTGTCCATCTCTGCTCATCTCCCCATGTCTTTGCTGCCTTCCCATTAAATCCAAGGATGGGGATTTCTCAGCTTGCTGGAAAAGTGCTTCTGGTGCTTAACTACTCAGACTTGTTCAGAGGACCCGAGTTGCCCCTGAATTAAGCATGTATTTTCTCCAAACCTCAGGTGTGCTGGAGTGCCCAGGCGTTTCCTCTCCTCCTGGAGGACTGTAGTGGAAATGCTAAGTCACAGCTTGAAGCAGTAATTGGGCACCTGGTGGGAAAGCAAGGCCAACTCAGGGTAGCTCAGGTGTATGCAATGCACCCCTTCCTAGACCTCATTTAAAGGCTGGCAGTGGAGACAAAGGTAACTTGCTGGTGACCCCTGCCTACCTGAGGCCTTCTAAGGGTAAGTAGGTTGTTTCTATTGTTTATCTACAGACTTTGCTGCTTTGCTGCTGTTGCTGTGCTTTCCATCGTGTTACAGCCTTAGGAGGGTCTAGGCGTTGCAGTCTTCTTCCCCTCCTGTACGTCTGAGTGGCTGTGGTAGTTTTGGTAGCAAATACTGATGATTGTGCAGCCTGTTGACTTCAGAGATGAACTTGGTTCAGGGAATGAGGATCTCAGCCCATCCCTGTGCTCCCTGCAGGAACGCGGAGTTGTCCAGGGGGAAGGGCAATAGCACCAGAATGACTAATGCTGCTAAGGGAGGGACTGGGCTTGGAGAAGTTCAGACTCTAGTTAGGCTGTTGGAACTCACAAGCTGTGCTTCAAAGAACATCGCTGTGCTGCAGGAGCAAGCAGTGAGACGGGTGTCTGAGAGACGTGGGCTGTCATGCATGGCAGAGATGGCACCTTCCCATGGAGCAGCTCGCAGGCAGTGTGCTGACGGCCGTCTGCTCGCAGTGACACAGAGTCGTTCTTGCTGCAGGGAGCTTGGGTTCTTCTGGGCTCAGTTCTTGGGGCAGCCTGTGTTGGTAGAACAGGTTTTGTTTCACCTTCTAAGCTTAAACAGATTTGACGCAATGAATTTATTAAGATAAGAGAGGCTACACTGGCAAACAGTTTGTCATAGCTGAGGCCTGTTTTCAATCAAGACAACATGTCTGCCTGCCTCGTGGGGTCAGCTTGGAAACGAGGTGGGCTACTGGGAATAACTGGGTGAGGCTCTGTGGGGGCCGAGCAGCTGTGGGCCGCACACTGGGTGGGATCAGCACTGGGTCATTCTTTTTGCTTGTTTTTTTCCTTTTTTTTTGGTCATGGTTAGCTTTGTGAGCTTGCATGTCTGCAGGGCACTCAAGGACACTAAAGAGAGCCTTGGAAGAGGATCAGGGCCATGTAGAGAGCTAGTCTGGATCTTAAGGGTCTGGCTGCTCAGTTCCCAAAATAAGCTTAGAGAAAAGATTGTGAGAGCTTTCTTCTCCCTCCTCCTGTTGCCGGCAGAGCAAACTTGAGGGGAAAGAGTGGGACTGGAGAATGCCATCTGCTCCAGGCCTGCTCCCTCCTGACGGCGGCTCCTGGGTGGTTTTCTGGCCAATGGTCCCAGCAGGGCTGCTTGCTGCCTGCTCTCTTGCTGGTATGGCAAGGCACAAGGCTGTGCTTTGGCACAGTGCATGAACAGGAGGGAGGTGAAGGAGAGCTGTGGTGGGGTCAGATGTATCAGTTTGTGGGCTCAGGGCGGTATTTTTAGTTTGGCTTTTGTTTTTGAAGAAAGCCAGGGGAATGTGGTGGAGCTTTCCTATGGAAGAAACAGTGCTGGTCTGTGTTGTGCTGCGGTGTCATTAAAACCCTGGCAGGAAAACATCCTTCCCTCCTTATTCTTTTATCCTATTGCTTCTCTGCTACCCAGGGTCATCCCAATACCATTCGTGCGAGACTGTGGCAGTGATGAATTGTGTGAGGCTGTGCAGAGACCTGCTCTAGAGGGAAGGCAAGTAAATGCGTTAGCTACCATTCCTTGAGATATGCTTTCAGAGATGAAGGCTGATCTTTCATATGAAGGCTAAGATGACATTATATCTCTCCCTTCTGCTCGGAAGGTTTTATTCTAACACATTCTTGGCACAGCATCTCAAGAACCACCAATACTTCTATGAATTTTATTAAGCTTGCTTCCATAATGGGAGACAGCAATCTGCTCCCTCCAACTTATTCCACCCTATTCCTCCTTGGGTGTAAAACTGAACTATAACCAAGAGTTTAAAACAAGCTTGTTGGAGGCAAGTTCAGTCTCCCATTGAGGAGCTGGGAATGTCCAGGATGCTTTTTCTGCTGAGTTGTCTCTCATTGGGCCCAGTATGTTCGTGGACATGGATGTTTGTGGACATAGGATGAATCCTAGAGAGGATTCATCATGAGATGCTCAGGGCATCGTGAGACCTAAGCGCTGGCTGGGGAAATAGGCACAGAGCCTCCAGCTTCCTTTGGGTTTGATTTTGGGTTGGATATTGGGAAGAATTTCTCCTCAGAAAGAACAGTTGGGCATTGGCACAGGCTGCCCAGGGAGTGGTGGAGTCGCCATCCCTGGAGGTGTTCAAGGACCATTGAGATGTGGCACTGAGGGATGTGACGGTGGGCTGACAGTTGGACTAGATGTTCTTAGAGGTCTTTTCCAAACTTAATGACTCTGTGAGTCTATCACCTTCCCAGCAGCAAGAGCACCCAAATGCTCCAAACCTGGATTCAGTATCTCTCAGATCTTCCTGCCTTTCCCTTCTTGCTCTCCAGAGGGATGGTGATAGCAAATGATGCCCTCAAACACGCTCCATTCAGAAAACATAACTTTATTATTAGTTGCAATATACATTGTATTCCTTTAAGAATCCTAAACTTGTATATGGTTTCCCACTGAAAATACAAGTGTATGTATATATGCTTTTATATATGTATATATATATATATAAATTTTATTGAACTGGGACACAACAAAACGAGAGAGACAATTTACTTGAAAAAATAAGTGTGATCTTCAAGGGTCTATGCTGGCAGTGTGCTAAGGTAAGTGGTACAAAAAGGACAGGCTAAATGGAAAATGTGGTGGGCAGAGGGGAATGGTCTCCCAGTGCTACAGGTGGTGGCACGGGTGGCAGCTGCACATTGCTATTGCTTGGTCACGGGTGCCACCTCTTCTCCAAGGCAGGCTGGTCTCTGCACAGCAACATTCGTAAGGCCAGCTGTGCTCCCTGCTCATGGTACCTGCTGCTGGGAAATAGCTTAATTACATTTCCCTTGGCAGCAGCTCTGCTCGTTGCTAATCTGGTCAGTGAAGGAAGGGTTCCTCCAGGGCACGGAGAAACTGAACTGGGTCAATATAAAGTAGCTTACGTGCAGGGTAAGGGAGCAGCAGGTACATATTTGCTTGCTAACCTGATTTTCAATCACAGCTTCCCTTGGGCAGCCAGTACCACTGGACAGAATTCCCCAGATGCACATAACTGCCTGCCTTTCCTTTCTTCCAGGCTGCAGATGTGTCATGGGCGAGACATGTTCTGCAAGGCACTGACCACAGACCCTGGGGCAGGCAGTGGGCTCTGACCCTCCTGCTCCCTGGCAAAGTGCTTGTCAGTTCGGGACATAAAGAACGGGGGCATCAATTTGTTCCTCCTGACTTCCTGGGGAAAAGTGCTTTCAAAAATCCCACCCTCGAGTCATCGTCTTGCTCTGACCTCTGTGCCATCTGTCACTGCTGCATCACACCCATGTGGCTCCTGCTCCTGGGGGGCCTTGTCCCCATCATGGTGTTGCCTGCTGTGGCTTTCCCAGCAGCATCTGGCACAGAGGGACCTTGTTTGGGAAAAATGAATTTGCAGCAAAGCAACAGTGCGAGAGTTGCTGCAGGTTTAGCAGGGGTGGGTGGGAGCACCTGATTGCACAGGAATGGTGTTTAAATCACAAGTTGGCAGTGCTGGGAGAACTCCAGCTGGTTCCTCCCCTTAAGGGCAGGAAAACGCAAGTGGAAAAATGTCTGCATTCACCTCTATAAGAGCTTTCCTGACTTGGACCCGTAGGGGCGATTGTAAGGATACAACCTGCACCCGTGCATCTTGCACGCCGGTGTGTTGATGGGTTCTGCCTGCTATTGCACTGAGGTCCCTTTCCTGGATCTCTCCAGAAGTGGCTCCAAGGGCAGGAGGGAGGGGTAAGACCCCCCATGGTGGGCAGGATCCAGCCCAGGGCAGGGGCACCAGACCCCCAATGAGGTTTGTCTCCATGGGAAAGGCCCCGCGTCCTCATTTACAGAAGCAGAGGAAGAGGGGCAAGTAGGAGGCAGGAGGTGGGCAGGAGCTTGGCCACAATCTGGGGTCACGCCGTGGGTCTCCTGCTGGAGCAGTGGACCATGAAGATGCCCGCTGCTAATCCCTACCCACCAGATGCTCTGTGCTTCTCTATAGGGGTTTTTTCAGGACATTTTCCAAGCGATGAAGGAAAACAACATGTTATGACTGTAAAGTTATGGTGAAAAGGCTGGATCCTGATAGGACAACATTATTCCTCGCCAAGAGAATGAACAATTAACCTTTTTTTAGCCTCTCCTCCCATTTCTTCCCCAGCTCCCAGCCACCTCTATATACATCATATATTATATTACTATATTCTCATATAACTCTGCTTTTTCAGTTTCAGTAGCGCAAATGATTAATTCCAAGAGGGAAAAAAAAGAACAAAGAGGAAAAAAAAAGAAACAAGGGAAAAAAGCAGCCCCTACAACTATTTACAGAATAGTTTATCTTGCAGAGGCAATGGGGTTTGGCATTGGGAATAGCCTGGTTTGCAAATGTGCTGCGTGGGCTTGAGTCTACACTCGTCCCCTCCTCTGCCAGGGCTGAGAAAGGACCAGGTGGTGGGGACAGGGAATCGAAACTGCAAAGTGGAAGATATTGGCTTCTTTAACATACCAAAAAATTATTGCAGTATAAATGCACCCCCGCCACCCCCGCAAAAGCAGAGAAGAGGAAGTGATGGAGGAAGCTCTGTGAGTGGGGGGAATCTCAGTAAAATTACCCGACCTGGAAGGCCTTGGGGGCCGTTCCCACAGCTGTCAGTGCTTCCTCACATTGTGGCAAGGGTCATCTATGCCAGTGAGTAACACCCACCCTGTGCCTCTCCCCCCAACCCTTACACTGTGCATGGCAAAATATCCCACGAGTCCCTCCACACCAGATCTTTTCCAGAGAGAATTCTACTACAGAAAGCTTCTATTCCCAGAAAACCCCAGTAAGAGTTGCAGAAAGGATTGCTCTTAGGTCTGGCTGGTTTCTCCAGCTGCTGAAACCTTCTGGCCAACCCATGTCAGTATTTCTGTGAAGACGGAGGCGGTGACCTCAGGCAGCTCTTTGTGCAGTGCATGGTAGGCTTCCTCGTACACCTGCAGACAGGGAGAGAGCAGGGATTAGCACTGAACAAACACCTTCACAGGCAGAGCAGCCTTCAGCCCCTCTTGGCAACACCCCTGCGTCCCATGCTTTGTCTGGTTTTTCTCCCAGGTGTGATTGGAGCAGAAGATCTTAGTGGTCTTTCCAACCCTAACAATTCTGCGTGTGTCAGGTTATCACATCTAAGGGCACACTCTGCTTCAAAAAGAAGTCTACCATAGTGTTCCAGCTTCTGTGCTGATGGACCCTGCTCTGCTCATCCCAAGCACCCTGCTGCCCAATGCCGCACATTCCTTCCTCCCTGAAGGGCTGGGAACCTGCTTGGTTTGCCAGGAACCAGCCCTGCTTCCCCCATTGTGACTCCTAAGTGGGCAGTGCTGAGGCCTCTGCTTGCGGGATAGCATCCTAAAAATGGAGAAAGCAAGCTGACCTTCAGCGTTTTGTCCTGGCTCTGCACCGTGTCCATCAGTAAATAGGAGCCTTTGATATCGCAGAGCTTGTCAGAAGAGCCATGCAGCACCAGGATGGGCAAAGTCAGCTTGGGCAGAGCTCGCTCGATTCTGGTAATGGCATTCATCAGCTGGATGACAAAGGAGACCTTCATGCCACCGTGGTAGACCAGGGGGTCAGATGTGTAGGACTCCATCTGGCAAGGAGAGAGGGGTGATTTCAGGTTAGCAATGTTTCATGCAGAAAGGACAGAGCAGGTGGTGTAGAGGCTCTTCCCTCGGCTCTCACGCTTGTTTCCTGCTCAATCAAGATTTCCTGCCATCAGAGTCAGGGCCAACATCTTCACTATGGCTGCCAGTGAATAATTGCCTGCCCATTTCTTCCTAACTAACTGCGAGGAAGAAATTCTGTACTCAGAAGGCAGTGAGGCAGTGGCACAGATGCCCAGAGCTGTGGGTGCCCCATCCCTGGAGGTGATTAAGGCCAGGCTGGATGGGGCCCATGGCAGCCTGAGCTGGTGAGGGGCAACCAGCCCACAGTTTGGAATGAGATGGTCTTTAAGGTCCCTTCCAACCTGAGCCATTCTATGACCTAGGCCTGCAAGCAGCTGACAAGTCTGCTGCACAGCACTCATACACCAATGTTCTCCTCTGGGTACAGAGGACACAAGGATGGGATTAGGGATTAGGCTAAAGAAAAAGTCAACAACTTGCTCAGCCATACTGTGAGAGGCTAAAAATACACCAGAGCTGGTGCAGAAAGTTGCTAGGAAGGAGTATTTGCTACAGCAGGCAAATCTACAGTAAATATTTGTATACTGTACATGGAGACGGCCCACACAGCCACTGCCATCTCAATATTTGCCAGAATGCTTTGATTACGGGTTGGTCTCTGGCACAGCCTTCAGTTTCTCCCAGCCCTGGCAGATGTTTATAGAAACAATGGTTATTTATAGGTTAGCCAAAATCGGCCTTCTTCTCTCCTTGCAGACACAGAGGTCTGTTCAAGTTCTTGCTTTGCTGGAAGGTGAGGTCACTGTGAGGTTATTGGGGAGGGAGGAGGACACAACTGGTGGGGCTTTCCCAACTGCAGGCATTCATTCATTCTCTAGAGATGCGGAGCTGATTTCCTTTCTCGGCACCTCAAATGCGTTGGGACACAAAGCACTGGAAATGGAGCTGGCAGGGAGGCACACGGTGCACAGAGGTCTTTCCCCACTGCCTTCTTGTTTCATTGAATCCCATCAGCAGTTTTGCATTTGTAGAATCATTAAGGTTGGAAAAGACCTCTAAGATCATCCAGTCCAACTGTCCACCTGCCATCATCAGCACTGCCCACTAAACCATTCCTATGTCCCTTGTTTTGAGCAAATCCATTGGGTTGCACAGGCTACTTGCTTCAGCTGAACCCACATCTGTTAGCAGTGCACTAAGGCAGCACAGCCTTGAGATGTTTTATTATTTATTATATGTTTAATTGAAGTACTTGAGGGAGAGGCAGAATTGGGAGGGGTGGGTGGGTGGACTGACAGAAGTTCTCTTCCCATGGAGTAAAATAACGTCGATGAATTCGTGTGCATTATGCATCCCCAGTGCCATGCATGCTAGGAGAATGACCTAATAGGTTTCTTTCTCTTGTTCTCTTCCTAAAGAACAGGGAATTTTTTTAGCTACTGAGCTGTCAACAAATGTTTTTGTATAGATGATGGAAGGGGGAAAAAATAATAACTTAATCCTAACCCAGATCCATCAGCAGTGAGTAGGAGGATCCTACTGCTGGTGAACGAACAAAATCCTTGTCAGAAAGTTAATGCTCAGAGCACGGTGTGAGTGCAAGGCAGAAGCTTTGTCCACAGCTTTAAGCTAATCAACAAAAAATAAATAATTAAAAAGGAAAAAAATAAAAGATTTAGGAGCTTGCTGTTGCAGTGAAGGTGATTTACTGGTCCTGTTTCATTTTGAGACTTTTATGGGTTATGCTGTTATGCAGCTTGGAAGCAGAAGCGGGGTTTTGAGGTTGCACCTTGCTCTCTTTTGTGTCTCTTGCATTTGATATTGCACACAGATCAAATGAGCATCTCCATGCCATCCTGCATCACAGTGCCTACACCCTGAGGACAGCCTGCTGGGAACACAGCCTCATCAGGAAATTCTTGGATGACATCCCAAAAACATTTCCAGAGAACGAAAAGTTGGCTGGGCAGAAGAATATGTTTAACATATAAATAATGGATGTTTCCAGCACATTGCAGGCTTTGAGGCCGTGCAACCCGAGTCCAAAGGGAGGGTGGAGTGTGTGCCAGAGGCAGCCAGAAGACGAGATGCTGGAGTGCCTTTGGTGAGTGCATTGCAGCCCACTGCTGCTATGCCAGAGGCAAGTTCATGCGCAGGTGGGCAGGCAGCAGAGCAGGGAGGAGTGGGAGTCTTCTCCTGAGGACCACTGCACTGTGAGCAGGCGTGCCAAAGCAGACCTGTTCTCATGTGTTGTGAAATGCTTTCCCTTCCTGCACGGAAAGGGAAAGGGCAGAGGAAAAACAACACACAGGAAGCTCTTGAGACTTGGAGCATCACACAGCAGTGGGAGCAGAGGCAAATATTTGGGTGGGAAAAAAAACACAGGATAGCATTTGTTGTAAATTGTTCCCATGGAATAAGAAAATATTTGGACAATATTGTGTGGTAAATTAAGGAAGTTCACTGACACTTTTCTAAATGTGTTATGACCGGGTTGTCTCCCATCAGTACTTTTCTCTTGTCATGCTCTGTAGTGCAGCAATTTCCAGCAGAAGATCCAGTTGTTGGAAGCAGGTGTGCTTAAAACTGCCTTCCTTAAAGAGCAGCTGGGACACACAGTGCCACATAATGACCTTGAGCCAGGCAGAGAGCTGCATGTTCCAGCCATGCTCACTGCTCCTGGACGGGGAGCACCTTTGAATTCCTGGGCCAGAACCATGGAAACCTGGTGGCTCTTCAATAGGGCAAGAGGGTACAGCCTCAAGTTGTGCCAGGAAATATTCAGGTTGAGTATTAGGAAGAATTTATTCTCCAAAAAGGTGGTAATGCACTGGCATAGGCTGCCCAGGGAGTGGTGAAGTCACTTTGCCCGAGGTGTTCCAGAACCATGGAGATGTGGCACTGAGGGATGTGGTTGGAGGGCAGTAGTGGTGGTAGTTGGACTACGTGGTCACAGAGGACTTTTCCAACCTTCACGATTGTGTGATTCTATTCCATAAGACTCCTTTTCTTTGCAGTTTCCTAACGGGTGAGTCAAAGGGAGGAATGTGCTGAAGCTGATGCGTTGCGTCAGCTGACATCGTCTTTGCTCCTGATCCTTTCAGCTTCAATTCTAGCACTGCATGAACAGCAGGAGAAGTGACAGCATTTGTCAATGGAACAACCTGCTATGGCATTGAGCTCCCCTGCTTTTGAGACGTCCTTGGGTACTGTGTTCTCCATTCAAACTTTCTGAAATACACCAAGTTCTGGGTCACTCCCTCTCTGGACCAAGCAACTTCACTCACCTGTAGACCAAGCTTCCCTGCTTGCTCTCCTCCCTCCACACCAAGAAGGAAAAAGAACTGTCATGTATTGTGGCAGCAGTTGCAAGGACACCTGGCTGTGCCAATGGTGGCATGAATGGGAAGCAATGGTTATTGCTAGGAGGTGGTATGAATGGGAGAAGAGTCTCAAGCTGTGGTGACACTGAGAGAAGTTGATCCTGGAACCACTCCATTCACCTTGGCAGTGGAGCTGGAATTAGGTCGTTACAATGGCTGCTTCAATTGCAGCTCACTTCAGTATTATTCCCAGGCACAGAAAGAATACATGATTTGTTCAGAAAGGCTGTGACAGAGCCAGACTGCAATCCAGGAGACCTTGTAGCAAGGTCTTTGGGGCAAGCACGCTTTTTTCATCTGTCTGAATGCATTCAGCACAATGCCATTCTGGTGTGTAAGCAGGAATACCAACCTCTTGCACTGGAGTTTTGCACAGCAAAGAGCAGGTTTGGAAATGCAGCCTTCAGTAACATTTGCAACCTGCATGAGCTGGTTGTGAGGAGAGGTGGTGGTACAGAAGGGACACCCAGAGCAGTCATGGGTGCAGAAGGTATGCAGGGACCAAGGGCTGCTTTCCCATGGTGAGCCACATATTCTGCTCTGTGCAAAAGGGCATGGATCTAGCCCTAGAGATTTAGAAAAATGCCTTTTTTTTTTTTTTTTAAATTATTTTTAACAGAAAAGAGAGGACTACAAAAGGGTACTGAGCATGCAGTAACTTTAAGTGGCATTAAGGTTCTCACCTCCTTCTTGTTCCGGGAAATTGCATTTGGATCTATTGATCCCAGTGACAAGTTTGGAAGCACGAGGTTGAGTACTTTTGCTGCAAAAACCTGTGGGAGAGGAAAGCAAGTAGTTAAGGAGCTGGTCAGGGCAAGAGAGATATAGAGGACCTAATCCTGAGCTGGTGGGAATCAGCACTGAAGTTAAACAGTTGAGGAATGTCAGCTGACACAGTAGAGAGATCTGTCCTATATTTAAAACATTTCTCTTGAAGTGAGTGTTTAAACTGCTCCTGGGACTGGGGGGGTGTGCAGGTCTGACATGTGTCAGCTCTCCGTCCACCACACTGCAGCTTCATCACCCCTTCCTTTTTTCTCACTCTCAAAGAGGCATCAGTGAGGCACCTTGATAAGAAAAAGCTGTTTCCATTCCCCATGGAGCTGTTTTTTTCTGGTTCTCACTGCCCTGCCCTGCTGCCCCAGCTCTGATTTCGGACTGCAGTGCACACTCCATGCCATTTACAAGAGTTGTCTAGGCTGCACTCCTTCTGATAGGCAGATCCTCAGGGGAACCTGCAAATAAACACCAACAAAATGTGCATGCGTTGGCAAAGGAATCTATTGCTCACTTGTCTCCTGGGAAGGAAACACAAAAGCATTCAGCAGCCCAGGCCTGAAACTGCTGGCAGATGAAAGGGTAGCATCTTTCATTTGAATAGCACTACAAGTACGTCGGTACCACGCTTCTGCTCTGATCTTTGGTATCTGTCTTTAATTAAGTGATCAGCACTTGAGAAAATTGTGCCATTAGTGTATGCTGGTCTATGTTACAGCCCCTCTGTGCCCTCAGCCAGTACCTGCAGGTGAGCTGTCACCTATGTTCCCTGTTTCTGCTTAGATTTAATCACTACTGAAGCGCTCTGACATTTCAGATCGCAGATGATACATGGCAGAGTAATTATGATATTAGAGGAATAACACAGGGTTGCAGTCAAAGTCATCCAACGTGACAAGCTGTAAAGACTCACAGCAGATCTGAGCACCTGTGCTTTGGGCTGGATATGACTATAACAGGTTTATGGGAACTGTTAGGTCAGGGCTTGAACCAGTGATTGAGCACCTGGTGAAGGAGTGTAGCCAGCCCTGGGAGCACAGGTGGAAGCAATTGATCTGGGTGATTGAAAGGGGTGGACTGTGGGTACACTGCTTCCTAACCTCATTTAAAGGCTGGCAGCCATAAGGGAAGCTCCTCTACTTGGGGATTATCTCCCTGGAAGTGTTTAGTGTGCCCTGATCTTGGAAAGGGGTAAGTGGTTTCTTTATTATTGAATTGTGACCTCTGTTTTTCTTGTGTTTGGAGTATCTTTATCTGCTGCTGCCTGTTCTTACGCAGACATCGTCATTCCCTAAAATCATTAAGGTGGAAAAGACTGTGAAGATCATCAATTCATCCCCACCGTGCCCTCTAAACCATGTTAAAATGGCACTGTGTGAATAAAAGTAACTCTACTGAGCTGACCCACTAAAAATACATCCACCCAGGTGCCAGTACAATGAGCAAGAATGAGGTTTTCTCTTGTGTTAATGTGATGTGATGATTTGAGGAATTCATCTGAATGAATTCTAGGCAAGGACTTTGTGCTGACAATGCTGCAGCATTTTGCTTCTCTAAGCCACTTATGGTGACCCAGATATACATAAAGTAACTGCAGATCCTTGGCTAAGATATTTAATTTGGAAATGTAATTATTGTAGGTTTTCTTTGCAGTCTATGGAGGCGAAGAGAAGCAACCTCAGAACCTGAGATCTGAATACTGGTTTGGATGTTCATGCCTCTGAACATTACTGTGTCAACATTAGGCAATTAGGCTGCCCTAAAATTGGAGCCTGAGTTAAGTGCTAGGGTGAGTTCCTGTGCCTAATGATTGCTAAGTGAGGAGGAAAGCCTTGGCATGAGAGATTAGCGGTTGCTCTCTCAAGATCTGTTTAGAATATCAGTTGCAAAATCCACATGTTGTTATTAAGACCATAGATAATTAGGCCTACAACTCATAAAACAGGGAGAAAGGCTTTCTTCTAAATTCAGCTTTAGGGTACAGTAAGTTGATGTACTCTCACATTATAGAAGTAATATGTTTGATGGTGATGAGCTGCACACTTGTCAGATCCAGTGTGACCATTTCTCTGTTCTGATGATACGTGCTTATCTCCACAGCCCACAGATGATCTCTGTGACATGCTTTGGAAAATTCCTGGATCTTCTGCACGTATCTGGAGTTCTGCCAAACTGCTATAGAAATACAGCTGGATCTGGTCCCAAGCACTTCTAGCCCAGGTGAGTGGTGTCAGTGCAGTTGTTTCTGATGTTCAGCTGTGTAAGGGAAGCCCCAGGCTCTGTAGATAGCATGTCAGATGTGCCCATGTATTTCCTGTGTGTGCAGGAACTCCTATTTACACACAGGCAGAACCTTTTGGTATAAAAGTCTCATTGGGAAAGGACTCTGACTTCTGGATGGTCTTCAGATCTGCAGGCGGTACACCATCCATATTTGGATTCATTGAATCATTAAGGTTGGAAAAGATCACAGAATCACAAGGTTGGAAACGACCTGCAAGATCATCTAGTCCAACCACCCTCCCATTCCTATTAGTACCACAAGCTACTAAGCCATAAGCCATCTCTAAGATCACAAAGTCCAACTGTCAACCCATCCCCACCGTGCCATGTCCCTCAGTGCCACATCTCCACAGTTCTCAAACATCTCCAGGCACAGTGACTCCAGTGCTCCCAGCATGCCAGTGCATCACTGCTCTTTCTAAGGAGAAACTGTTCCTAATATCCAACCCGAACCTCCCCTGGCACAACTTAAGGCTGTTATCTCTTGTCCTGTGAGTCAAGGTCACATCAAGTGGAGAACTCAAGTTTTATGTTACAATCAAAGAGACAAAAGGTTCCCCTGAGCTTTTAATGATTATGAGCAATGTAATGCAACCTGTGACATGCTGGACTTTAATTAAAAGCCATGCTATTGAAGGGCTGGCTGTGTTTGATATATGAAGGTTTTTGTCCCTGTTGGTTCGAAGTGGCAACTGTTGGTTCTTGAGATAACTGCTCCCAAATGACCAAGAGTGCAATGCTGGGAATATTGGCTGGGCTGAGGGTGATGCTTTAAAGCATCAGCTGTTTGAGCTGCTCAGTGCAGGTGTGTGAAATCCTAACACTGTTCAGATCTCACATCTCTCTGTGAGAATCATCTTGGGATAAGATTGAAATGGAGTGCTGAATGTTGCCTCTTGACTGGAAGTGCAACTCAAAGCTCAGTTCATGGGTTTTGCATTGGTTTAACTGCATGGATGCTTTGTGGTGTAGACATGTTTCTTCTGAACAAAATAATCTCTGTCCCCACGCACCTCTATGCGCTTACTTCTCTCTCAAGATCTCTTCTTGACCAACTGCTTGAGTGAATGCTTTTTAGTTCAGCTCACCAACAAGTGAGCTGGATTGTCAAATAGGTGAGCTGCATATGCTAGCCAGGCTGGTTTTGCTGAGCAGAAAAATCTCTGGAAGAAACACTGATAAACTATTGGTATCAGGCTGAGAGCAATGGGTACAGGGATGTCAGGGACATGGGATATCAGGAAAATGAGATGGTATGTGATCAAGGATATGCCAGGTATTATGCTTTCATACCTCAGCAGGAGGCCAAATGGAAAACTCAAAGCTAAGAGCCATTCTTGTGTACTGATTCTGTAAGGCACATGCTGGGGGTAGGGATTATTTCCTATGAGATTGTGCAGCCCACTCTATTTCACAGCATTCAGCAGCAGAAATTCAGCAGGACAGGCTTTCTTATTCTCATGAGCACATGTGATTTCTGTCCCTTTGCATCCTTTGAAATTCAGAAGGCTCAGAGCCAAGTTTGGTCCAGAGAGAGCAGCAGGATCTTGCTCTCAAGTAGGTAGGTGTTCCTACTGGGAGTCACAGGGCACTGGATGAATTGTGTCACTGCTCTGAGCTACTTGTGTAGCCAAGGTAAATTCCTGCTCAGCAGGAAACTGCCCCAGCAATGGGCTGAATGCAGTGGACCTTGGGAAATGGCTCATGGCCTGGAAGTCACACCGGTTCCAGGGGAAAACCAAAGCCTTTGTGCCTCGGAGGCACTGGCACCAATGCTGGGTCCTTTGTCTCTGAGAAGGGAAAAGCACACAAGTGTTTCCAGCTCAACTTTTTGGGAAGTGGCAGCTTTTGCAGGAATATTCTGCTTGTTTTCACTCCTTTCTCTTGCAAATATCTTTCCAACTCCAGGAATGACTTCAAATATATTTGACAGAGCAGAAATATTTCAGAAATAATTACATTTTTACCAGTTTTAAGAAGCAGCAATAGATCTGAGGGAGAAGGGAACGTGCTGTGAACTTTTGTTATTGTGCTCAAGATGCTCCCTAGGAACGTGACCCCATAAACAACTTTGCAACGCTTCAGTTGGAGATTAGGAACTGAACTGAAGTTTATCTACTATCTGCTACTGACCTGCAAGAAACCACACTGCAATAATACTGGTTTCCATAGAGCTGGTTAGTCCCTATCTCAGAAAGGATTTAGCGTCTAACAAACTGAATAGAAAGCTTTTCTTCCTCTTAGAGCTGTATTTTCCACCTGTGGGGAGTCACTCATGAGGAAAACACTGACTGGCATCCAGGTGGTGCAGCTCTCAGCAGGCTTTGGCATTTGAAGACTGAAGGTCTCAACACGTTTCCTTCTATGGAAAAACGAGATGATTAAAAGCCACCCTTGGGGCTTGTATTCTTCTTTTGTGGGGTCAGTTGGTGGGTTAGGTGCAGTAAAAGGTGTGACAGGATTATGCTGAAAGCTGAGGCAAGATGTTTCCTTTTTCTCAGGGAAAAAAAAAAAATGAGAAATAGTTCAGAAGTAGATTAAAATGAGAAGCTAGCCCTAGAAGGAGACTAAGGAGAGGTTAAAGGGACAAGGTCTGTGGGAATGAGTTGTTCTCTCATTACTTCTGTCTTAGCTGGTCCTTCCCTTTGCTTACAGTTTCTTTTTAGAGTTGTTTATTCTTTCAAGCATCCAGAAAGGAGGGGAGAGCTGAGGGTTGTCTGCCTCCCTGGGGAAGGGCAGAGCAGGCAGTGCAAACAGGGGTCAGACATAACCCAGGATAGGGAAGGTGGACTGGAGGAGGTAAAGCCTAAATGCTAACAGAAGGAGATGCTGCACAAGGACCAGCAATGGTACCAAGCCAAGATGCTGCTGTTGATGCTCTAGCTGGAAGCCATTCAGGCTCATGGATTCCTGGGACTGAAGAGTTTTGTTTGGAAATCAATCATCCCCCAAATGTCAAAAATAACCCCAGCCTGACACTGCCAGCAGCCTGTGTTGAACTGTACCAGACTTTGTATGAGTCAGGGAGAAAACTGAGAGGAAGGGGAAGGCCAGTGCTGCGTGGGTTGCTGCGGGGCGTGTGATGATGGCACAGTCTGCTGCCACCTCCTGTAGTGCATTGCTCTCTGGCTTCCATTTAAATAAGATTTTCTGGATGAGTTCAGGATTTGCTTCCCCTCCAAACAGTGGGTACAGCTGTGAGAGAGGCACTCCAAAGCAATGTACTGACTGGCATTCAGGTGGTATCTATCTCAGTGGGTTTGGTGTTATCATAACTTCACTTGAGTCGGAAGGGCCCCTTAAAAGCCATCAGTCCAAACCCCTTTCAATGAACAGGGACACCCACAGCTCCCTCAGATGCTCAGAGCCCATCCAGCCTGACCTTGGCTGTGTCCAGGGATGGGGCACCGCCACCTCTCTGGGCAGCCTGTGCCAGTGCCCTTACTGTAAAAAAAATAAAAATAAAAACCCTACCCTATATCCAGTCTAAATCTCCCCAGTTTTAGTTTGTTAACCATTTTCCCTTGTCCTGATGGGAGGAGGCCGGAAGTCTCCGTGGAAGGAAACCTGTTGAGGAGATGACTGGGTGCACTGGGGATTGGCTCTTACCTTGATGGGGGTGGCAACTTCTGGGCTAGCAACCACCAGAGGAGAGATTAGCAGCATGCCTGAAAAGTCACTGGGTCTCTCGCTGGCTGTCAGGATGGAGATGGCTCCCCCCTGCAATGCAAAGTAACACGGCTTAATGCAGATCACAACATCTCACTTATGTAGTAATCCTGTTACTGGAAGGATTTAGTTCAAAAAAGCAAACAATTTCTGCCGAACTACCCAGCATGCAGAAATCCTCACTCATTACTGGGAGTTAAATAATCTTGTCCACCACCAGCCCATCCTAACTCCATGCACCCTGCACATCACTTTGAGCCAAGTGTGGCCAGGCTCAGCCTGAGGACAAGAGGGCTGGGGGGATGCAGGCGCTTGGCTGGCTTGCTGGGGGAAGTTTGCAGAGGATTAGTTGCCAGGGGAAATCTTTGGTGACCTTCCGCGCTGCCAGAGAAGCAAGGGCTCGTTAAATGGAGCAGCAGTGAGAAGCATCTGAAAGACCTGGCTGGGAAATTAGCTCCTTGTTACAGCGGCTTTGGAGCGCGGCGAGCACTTCAGAGCATGCCATGCGTTCTTATGCAAGAACAATCGTTTATCTGAGCATGGGCTGAATCCCAAAGCACTTATTCATTTTTCTCTCCTCCGGGAAGGCAGGGGGAGAAGATCAGTGACATCAATGGGAATATTGCTCGCTTGAATAAAGGGATTTGGCCCGTGCTGTCAGAACCAGACTTCAGATCTGTTCACCAAATCATTGCCTTTGTTTTGGCGGCCCTAATCCTTGGTACGCTTCCCTGTGAGGTTGTTTAACAGAATGAGGCTATGCAGTGCTTTCGTGCTTCATCCCCTGGCTGCTCACAAAGCTCCGGAGGGCTTGCTCTCCTGGTTACTGGGTAAAAGGAGAAGCCCGATGCTGCAGGGGGGTGGTAGGATTTATTGAGTTTTCAGTATGATTGAACCGTCCTACTAAAAGACAGGTCAATTTTTGCAAATGGGCACTAATTAGGGCCATGGTCCAGGTAGAGAAGTTAAGGACTAGCTATACAGGAGGCAGATCTTGTACAGTTAGGCATGGTGACAAATTGACTGTACCCTGCAAGGAGGGGTGGGGATGATGCTTACCATGGAGTGCCCCAGGATGAGGATGGGCAGCCCTGGATGATCCTTTTTCATGAGATCAATGTGCTGCAAGCTGTCTCTGATGAAGACGTGGAAATCTGAGACAACCATCCGATCCCCCTCGCTCTGCCCATGGCCAACTGCAGGGGAAAAAGGAAAACATGCATCTGAGTGATCTGAAGCAGTGGTTGCAGTCAAGAAAAGCTTTATTAAAACGTGCCTGCTGGGCTATTACTGTCCTTCTCCCAGTCTTTTAGAGGTTGTGGAGCATCCTCCTTGGAAATCTTCAAAGGCTGCCTGGATGTGGACCCGGGCATCCAACTCTGGGACTCCCTGAGGTTGGAGCACATGGACCCAGAGGTCCCTGACAACCTCAGCCAATTGCTGTAGAGCAAGAACTGCTGTGTGAGCATTGCCAAGAAATGGAAGAAAACTCTGAACACTAGATACAGTCACTGTAAACTTAACAGACCCTGGATATGGACTGTTCCAGTGCGCGGGTGTGCATGAGCTTTGCAGAGTCCTCAGTGCTGCTCTGCAGCAGGAGGTGAGCTGGAAGCCTTCCCACTCTGAACTGAGAAGCATTCAGCAGAGGCCAGGGCCTCCAAGGGGAGGCAGCAGCCTGTAGTGGGGATACATCAGGTGGCACGCTCCTTCTAAACAAGTGCTCATGCAAACTGTGCTGCACCTGTGTGCTGCTAGCTTGTTCTGTGTCTGGGAATTATCTCATCTAATCAAAGGGAAAGGAATGACAAAAGTGGGAGATGAAGAGTTGCCATGGAAACAGTGGTATCCCTGGCAGAGGTGGACACAGCAGATCCACAAGCACAATTCCAGGCAGTTCTGAACTCACAAAGGCTTGAAATTAGTCATAGAATCACCAAGATTGGAAAAGACCTTCAAGATTGTCTAGTCCAACTGTCCTCCTACCACCAGTGTTTCCCCACTAAACCGCATCTCTTATAGAATCATGGAATCCACCTTGGGGAAGCACTTTGCACGTGTACTGCACCAAACATTAGATAGGTAGACTATCAGGGATAGGATTCTTCCTTAAAAGCAGTTCTTTGTTTCTATTCCATGTGCATTGTTAAGGAAAACTGGGAAGGGGGAAATACTGTGCAAACCACTTCCATATTGATGGAGTGTAGGGAGTGCCAAACAGCATCCCTTCCTGTGTGCCTCCCTGGGGCTTCTCTGGTGGGACCAGACTGCAGGCAGAGATTCAAAGGCACAAAGGGCAATGGCTTGTCAAAGCCCAGCATCTAAGAAAGTCAGATTTGCTTATTTCCTTGCTTCTGAGTGGTCTCCATGGGTCTCAAGGCAGTGAGTACGGCAATCAGACATGATGTCTGCCTGACTAACTCAGAGATGTCATCCTGGTCTATCACAAATAATATATTGTTGGTGCTGCTTTCTATGCACACGCTGCAGTTTCTGCCAAAGTATGACACTGTAAGCATCCCCTGTGGATCAGTGATCAGAAACAAATCAAAGAGCCAATTAAAGTAAGAACTGAAATGGTCTACAGAAGTGAAGCCATGTGTGGGGCTAGTGGATTTATTTACCTTTTTCTCAACATCTATATACTTTCAGTCATCTCGCTCTATGGAGCTCAAATTTGTCTTCTGCTTAATATTTGACCTGCAGATTTAACATGCTGATAGGAGTTGAGCAGTCCAGAGAGAGAGGAACCTGTTCTCTTAGCAGAGCTCTGCACTTCCACTTCTTTTTTCTCTGGTGCACTTGCTTCTTGTATCTCTTTCTGTGCAGTCTGTGCAAGACAGCTGAGCAAGCAGAAATAGCAATATCCCCGTGACCCAGGTCTGTATATCGGCTGTGAGTCTGTCTGGGGGCTGTGAGGCTTTGCCCTATTTTTGGGTAGAGAGAGGCAGGTCTGGAAGGCCTCCCTGGTTCTTGGTCCTACTACAAAACAACGATACTGCCCATAACAGAGAGGTACCTATGTATTTCTTGGCTCAGGAAGCCAGGAAATGCCTGTGCAACAGCACACCACTGGATTTCTCCAGGTTTGTGGTAATTTTATGGATTACTTAATGAATCTGTGCTTTTAGCTACTAAGCTACCATCCCCCCCTCATGGAACACAGCAGCACTTGGAGAGTAGTTTGTCTGCATGTGTGGTATAAGAAGATCATGCAAATCTTTGCACCAGTACTGCCAGATGGCATATTTCCTCTCCATGAAACCAAACTTCTTCCACCAGAGAATGAGTTCATTGGAAGTTTGAATCTCCCAGCTGAGAAAGCTTTAGGGAAAGGAGTTAAGATCTCTTCTGTTAAATGAAAGCCATATGCACAATTGAACATTGGCAAAGTCATGGGTATTGACCTGTTTTTCTCTGATCTTGTGATCTGGAGCTATTAAGAGTGAAAGATCAGGTTCATCCTTGATGTGAAGCTATCTGCTTTGAGTTTTGCTTGGAAAAAAACTGATGTAGCAGTCCCACAGCATCTGTGGCAGGATACTTGGTGCAAGAGGAGAGGACTGGCCTGGGCACAGGAACCAACCAGGGCTGTCCAAGCCCATGTGAGACAACAGCCATAAGTCACAGCCCCATGAGTTCCCATCGCATCTCTCCTCTTGGGGCCACTGGTTTCAACAGCATAATGCCTTTGCCATGGAACTTCTTGACACACACATCTATAATGAGCTGTGATTGCCCATGCACATCTTTACGGCACACGGCTTTCATCATCTGTTAGCTCTCACAGCTATCTGGCTTCATCACCATCTTGTGTGCTTCATATGCATGTAGTGGCTCAGTTATCAACCATTTCAGGTTCTAGGTATTATGATGTGAGCATCCTTTACTAGATGCAAGGCTTTAAAACGAGAATGTACAACTTTTCTCTTCCAATTGCCATCTAGGATTAAAATGCCTGAGTCTCCATTTGCAACTGAACGCGTTGCTGTTAAATAATGGACATTGGTGAAACAAAGCCTGAATAAAGGCTGCAGAGATCTGGCCCAATATGCACACATTATTTTCTGCATGAGTTTGTTCAGACTGCAGCTCTACCACTGTAGGGGCGTGAACAGTGACTTGTGATCAGTCAACCCCATCTGAAAGCATGACCTCAGAGCATGATTCCTCCTATGGCTATCGATCCTCCAACGTTGCTCACCTCTCTGGGTGGAAGAATGCTGACTGCCTGAGCAGGAACATAAAGCCTCAGTTCAGTGATGGAATACTTAATGGTGTGAGGGCTCTGGAGACTGAATTATCACTGCAAAGGTATCGCTCTGCCTGCATAAAGGAACCTTTATCAGTCTGGATAAGCTCAGCGGCACTGCTCACCTTAAAGAGAGCTGTATCCTCATCTGTGTTGAAAACATGGGGGAAACTGCTGAACAGCTCCGGTGCTGAGAAAAACGGGGAAGAACAAACAAGAAGGAGCTTTGACAACTTTTGTCTTAGTGTCACACTGCCTTCCCTCTGGAGAAGGAAGGAGCTTCAAACCCTCAGCAAATCATTCTGAGCCATGATAAGAAAATCCCTCCAGGCTCTCTACTCCATCACACCTGAGCAGAATCTTGTTCTCTGGCTTTTATACAAGCCCCAGGCCATATGTGTTTCTTTCTCCTTCTATCACTAGACCCTCCCAGCAAAGGCTCTGCCCGATCCTGTGTGCTCAGGTGTGCTGTGAGCCATCCCTCAAAGCTCCAGCTGGGACACTTTGCCACTGAAGATAAGGTGACATGGAAGTGCAGGGTAAAATGCTGACTTCAGCTATGCTGCTGTATATTTTCTGATGTCAGTGGTGTTCCTTAAAGCTCATAGTTATGGGAGAACAGAAATTATGGTCTGTTGTTTTTTCAGCCTTTACTCACTATTTATCGTGAGAAAGCCATAAAACGTAGAGAGAGGACATGAGAGAGCTGCCTGGGGAGCAGTAACTCTCCAAGCAGAGTCTGGATCTTGACTATTCATATATTTGGAGGCTTCCTGCTTTGGGATAATGGAGATGGTTTGGTTCCATTTTTGTTACAGTAAGCATACCACCACAGCATTGGTGATATGAAATGCTGTCTCCAGCCAATTGATGGTAGAAATAATCAACAGAACCACAGGGCTTGACTCCTGGCTTAGGATCCATCACACCATGTGCTTGTTTTTTTTCTGTCTAGATACCTAACTGCTGTGATGGGACAAGGGGAATTGGCTTCAAACTAAAAGAGAGGAGATTTAGATTTAGACTGGATATGAGGAAGAAGATTTTTGCAGTAAGGGCAGTGAGGTACTGGCACAGGCTGCCTAGAAAGGTGGGTGCTCCATCCCTGGAGACAGCCAAGGTCAGGCTGGAAGGCTCTGAGCACTTGATGGAGCTGTGGGTGTCCCTGTTCATAGCAGTGAGTTGGATCACCTTTAAGAGTCCCTTTCAAGTCAAACAGTTTCCCAGTCCTAACTCCTAGAATTTAAAGGGGAAGCACAACTGAGAGAGAGGGCTGGAAGAAGTTCAGGCTCTTCAGGTTTACTGCTCCTGGGGCATAAATACATTTGGAGTTGCAGTAACAACAGAGTGTGGATGCAAGAGCAGCTAAATGTGAGACCTGTCATGTTAATAACCTCCAGCTGAGGAGCCGCTGGAGCAGAATCCCACCCAAAAGGACATTTCTTAATGATGTCAGAAGGGGCCATTTGCAAAGCTTGCTGCAGCAGCCTCTGGTTTAATAAGCCGGAGCATGGATGTGATTCTACTCCCAAAGAGGCTGTGGGAGGTCAGAAAGGTGGACTTACTGCTCCAGCACACGGCAGCAGCAAAGGGAGAGGTTTTTGCAAGATTCTGTGCTAAGCTCAGGCTGCTAGGACCCTCTTCTTTCTCTACCTGTGATCAATAAGTGTACTGGAGGGACCTACAGCTGGAGTCTGACAAGTCCATTTGAAACAAATGCCTATATGCCTTTTGGAGGAGGTATTTGCAAGAATATTATGCATTTGCATTTGCTTTGTTCCTCAGGGCCTTAGGTTTCTGCCCCAAACTGGAAATGGGATGAGCAATGATACAGCATGAGCCAATGCTCACCTTTAAAGCACTAAGTCAAGCAGACAGAGTTCTCAGGACTGTTTTAGTCTTGGAAGATGTTGTAGCAGCTAATTAAGTGGTGTCACAAGGCAT